GTTATCGGCTGGTACAACTCTGTGGGAGTTATTGAAAAGATGAAATACTTGCTGTGTTCTCAAGAGACAGTGGAAAGAAAAAGGAGCTGGTAGGATACCTTAACAAACCATTTGGCTTCCTGTCCTCTATTAATCACCTCAAAGTGGACATAGTGTGCTAGATAAACAGAAGTTGGCTACTCTAAACAGCACACTTTAAATCTTCTCTGTTTGGACTTAACTTGTAATAAACATGTGGGTGTTTCTGTTGGGTTTGTTCCAGAGTTCCAGGTAAACTGAAGCAATTTGTACTAGACCTGCATTCTGGAAAATTGCATAGAGAGTTTCATCATGGCCCTGATCCAACTGATGTAGCACCTGGTCAGGTAAGGTTACAACAAATACATTTAATTTGGCCGTTTAATAAAGAACTTTGTTTTTACTCTCTGTCAGAGCTGTACTTCCTAATGTGTATGTACTTTTAACCTCAGTCTCCTAACTTCTGTAAACAGAGAAATCTGTTTATAGAAGCACGATGTTACCCCTTCTGCTTGGCTCTTCCTTTAACTTCCTTTGGGTAAAGGCAGGGAGAGCATTAGGGTGAAGTATGATAACATGTATGCCTTGGATAAGGGAAGAGAATAAGAATATATATTTTTTCCACTGAAGCAGGAGATCTAGGGCTAGATAACTGTTCTGAGCTCATAGAGCTGCTCTTGTGTTCTCATGTGATTTCAGTGCAAAACCTGATGATGCACCGTAGATGCATTATTTCCCACGTGACACACCATGAGAGGGTGTTTCTGAGCAATCAATTGATTGAGTGTTTTATATATTTACTCATAGTCACCAATCCAAGCAGGAGGCAAGTTATTAGAGCATCAGCAAAAGACTGATAAGCGGTAATAGGGGCTTATTACTTTTATTAATTCTGTTAACAAGCGCCATTAATAGTGGTCACAGGCCAAAGAAAGGACATTACCAGCCCCCATTCCCTCTGCTCAGCCCAATCTTTGGTGTTTTGATCAGCTTTTTATCCTTTTGATACGTTGCCCAGCTCATCTGCTTGGTGTCATACTGAAAAGTGCAAATCTAACAGCCAGTCAGGCAACCTTCTCGTTACAGCAGGCACTCTAAAGAAATAACTGGTGTTAATCACTTCTATTAAGTTGTGTGTTGCGTTGTTTAGGGCTCAAAGAGCCATGTTTGGCCTAGAGAAGACCCAGTGCCCTTGTGCCTCGGGCCATCCCAGAACCTATGGGTTGAGGGACAGAAACAATTTACAGCTACAGGCTTCTTTTCCTGGTAGTCTGTGGGATGTGGTAAGGGAAGCACCATGCTAAGCCCTGTTAGCGCAGCCTCCTCTTGCCTTGCTCAAAATTAAAAGATTTAAAGGCATGAAAGCCCTGGAGGGCTTGCCTTGGGCCAGGAGAATGACTGGTTTTGAGAGTGGTCATGGCTGGCTGTGAAAAACACGTGGAAGTGTCTCAGCAGTAATTCATTTAAGTGGTAACTCCCTGTGTTTCTCGGGAATTCATTGAGCAACCAGAATTCAGGTCAAGAGGAGGAGATGGAGAAAACAGGGCTGGGTCAGCTGGGAGCCAGACAGGCAATTGCAGTCTGGAGGAAGCTTGGCCAGGGAGGGAGGAAGCCTGCCCAGTCCCTGGATCCTGCTGCCTGCCCGGGCACAGGCTCATTGCCCAGAGCTGTGGGCTTGCTCTGGTCTCCCTTCTGCCTTGAAAAACGCACACACAACCTGGGATGTTTGCTTTCTCATCTCCCTGTGGCACCCTGCCATCTCGTGGAAGGTGGGTACGCCTGTGCCATGGAAATGCTGGCCTTCACTAAACTGGAGGCTCCTGGTTTAGGTCGTGTCTCCCTTGAATTGTGCGTTTCAGATTTGGTTGTGGGGTTGTTTTTTTGTTTTCCACAGAAAAATTCTAAAATATTTTGGCAGCGATGTCACTTTTGCCCTGTTGTATCTCAAAACCAAACACACAAACCAGGATACCTTCAAAGCAAGTGGTGGACGGGCTCAAAGCAAATCTACAGTGGGGGGTACCTTTGAAATACTTTTAAGTCACTTGTACAGAAACTTGTGTGATGGCCGTTACCTTTGAGATGTGCCAACAAAAAGGAATACCCTTAACTGATGGTGCTTAATTAATGTATGTGTGCGTGTGTGTTCCACCTACTTGGGACTTGCAACGTGCCTTCCAGGAAAAAAAAACCCACCTCAATTTGTGAGAATGCTGGACATTCGTGCACTCCCATAATTAATGTTAGAAGTTCATTTAATGGAGCTGAATGCTTGTTAAGACGCATTTTAATAATCAATTTTACTGTTTGTTCTGTTTTTCAGCCAATTCAGGATTTAGCAAGCAGCCCGCCAGAGAGCTCATTCCAGAAACTGGCACCCAGTGAACATAGGTACACCTTATTGAGGGAAAAAGATGAACTTTAAAAACTTGAAATAATCTTGCAAGCCTTTCAGACAGCAGCATTGACTTCTGTGTGGTGGAAATAGTAAACCTATATTTTCATAATTCTATGTGTATTTTTATTTTGAATAAACTGAAAAATAATTTTTTTCTCCCCAGGCTTGTAAATACATTTGTTTGGTGGGTCATTCTCTACAGCATCTTTCAAACAGTACGTTCCTAATGCTAGAGTAAAATATCAGAGACCCATCCAGACTCTTGATCTAACTCTGTTCTGTAAAACTTTTATAATCCAAATGAAGGTATCCTTGCCAGAGACATGCTGTTAACTTGCACTATCCCATTAAATAGGACTTTTGGGTTGTTTTCTGTGTAACCTTGGTAGTATGTGCTTTTTCTTCTTCTTCTTCTTCATGTGAACAGCTATCCTGGTAATCTATTTCTTTGTCACATTTTTCTCCAACTTAAGAGGGTCTTCTATTCTGGATACTTGGGAGGGGAATAAATTAAAGTTTTACAGAATCTCGTGTGGTGCTTTACTGGGTGTAAATGTTGAAGTGATTAAACAATTCTAGTAAAATACCAAGTGAGGAAAGGAAAAGTTTTAATGGTGATGGCTGTACTTTGAATGAAGGGGCTGTATTGACCTGCTCTCATTTCCTGGAATTCGTAAGGTTGTTATATTATCCACACGGTTGTGTTAAAAGAACATGAATGTTGGAAACCCTTCAAAGTAGGAGAGGGCTAGGGCTGGACTGCCATCTTTTTTGTCAGTCCTAAATTAATCTCTGTATGTATGTGTTAGAATTAGTTGGGGGGTTGTTGGTTTTTTTTTTTCCCCTTGGGATCTTTGCCTTCCTGGCAGACATTTACTTTCTGAACAACCATTGCAAATTTTCTCTTACTCTTTTTGTCTGGTTTGTGCCTTATTTATTGTATATTCTTTGAATTCTGCTCTGAAGAAGGCATTACTACTTTCCTTGTGGGCTTTTCTGTTGTGCGTAATACTAGAACATGGTCTTTTCTCAATGAATCTTCAAGCTGTTTCAGATGAACACACAGAAGCTGTAAGATGGAAAAATATCTGTTAATTTGGGGTGCGTTGCTAGAGGTAAATTAATATTGGATTTGTAGATTTGTACAGTACACTTACTACAAAGAATCAAGGTCCGTGACTTGGGCCCCCAGGTTTTAATGTCCTTAAAGCAAGCTTGTTCTTTGGACCACTGGGTTCATGTTGACTCCAGCGAGTGCCCCAACTTCTGCAGTTCACAGCTCAGGGTTCCTTTTGCCTCTCAGCTGGATGCCACCTACTCGGTTATTGACAGGTGACAGACCATGGTGGCAAAACCTGATCTCAAGAGAGGCTGCTGTATCAAGTTCCTGCAGGAACAGGCACGTGAGCTTTCTAGAGAGCGATTTTGAGGAGGGAAGTTGCTGGTACCAACCAACCCTAAGCTACAGCAGATGCAGAATTGGTAGCTATGAAGAGTATTACAAGATTTTGTTTACGAGCACACTTTTTTTTGTTGATTTTGTTACTGCATTTCGGAGTGCACATTAAGTGCTTGAAAGTCAGGTCTTCTCCTGCCCCATTCTCCATCTCGTGCCAAAATCAAGCATTTCTGGCAGCTGTCATACCACCTTTCAGCTGGAATCCAAAGGATGTGAGCAGGGTGGGGTTTTAAGGCTGCCACTTGTTAACTGGAGGTGGTGCTCCAGAACTACTGGAGAACTTCTGGCACCTGAAATTTTAGTCAATTCCTGCATGGTGCCTACAAGGAGTTGTCTTACACCTTGAGATTCCCATTTCTCCTTGGGATTCTTTATCTATAAATGCTGTTTAGGAGATGTAGTCTACACTTCTATTTCTGGAGAGAGATGCTACCTCATCATACATCCAACAGTCCTCCACCGTTCCTTAATCCAAGGTTTTCTTTTTTGGGTTCTCAGAGCTTTGGCACCCCAGCACTAGGCAGACAATTGGATATAACAGTTTCATGACAGTTACGCACTCAAGTCCTTTCATTGTGTATTCATTAGAGGTTGAACAGCTAAAGTCTAGATGTGCCTATCATGATGTTGAGTATGGCTTGAACTTTTGAAGTATCTGATAATACAGAGGATTTGCCCAAAGAGAGCAAATGCTGGACAAATTGTGAGATGTGTTTTAGATTGAGCCCTTCAATTCTGATCACCTACATCAGTGGCTGTAACCCTTCGGTGCTCAGCTAACCACTCCCTTTAATGTTTCTCCAGGCTTTCATGGGAAGCTGTCAAACAATATTAGCATTATTCTCATACAGAACAAAACCATTCCAAACTCTCCTAAGTTCAATTAATTTTCTGATCTAGCCTATGTGTATGAGTGACAAGATGCACGCAACATTTTAGGAACTTGTATTAATTTCTGTCAATGTAAATATTTAATAGGTAAAGCATGTGTTTGGTAACTCAATTCAGCATTCTTAAATCTTGGTACTGCAATTATTTCAATAATACAAATATAGTGAGGGATTAGTCTTTTAGATGCTGAAAGGAAATAAACCCTGACATTCTCAATAAATATTACAACCAGGCTTGTAGGCAAGAACTTTTATTTGGTCTGAAAGAATGATCTATATCTTACACACCTAGCAATTTAAATGCTAGTTTGGTTACTCAGATGCCTGTCTTTTTTCACATATGTAAATAACCCATCTATCTTTAAAAAATCATAGCTTAAATAATAGTCTTCCAAGTCTAGTGTGTACATGGTTCTGAAATTGCTTCCTTAAAGATGGAAGGAGGAAGAATAGTTTTTGTGCTAGATGTTTCATAAAATGAGCACATACCAGGCTGAATTTGTATAAGCTGTGGCAGGAATTCAGTTTGATGACTTTAGATTGTCCTGGCATCAGTCCAGCGTGGGGGAAGAGGGTGGAGCCCTCGACGGCTCTGATGTGGCTGCTGGTATTTAAATGCACACAGTTTCGAAGCATAGAGAAGGAAAGCAGAGATGGCTTTTTCAAAATTATTCAAAGAATCAACCAGAGATTCTGATTAATAACGCTTTTATCCTTAGTTTCTTCCTTTAAATGTAGAAATTACATATCAAAGGAATAAACAGCCTTAGTATGAAGTTGTTACAACGGCATTTCATGTGTTTACATCCAAAGTAGATGCATGTGAAGAAAAGCGCTTTTTTTGCCTGACAGGAGCAAATGAGCCGAATTACTCCACTCCAGCTGATTTTACACTCCACTTTCCACTCCAGCTGATGTTACAGATGTAGGCACTGTGGCTCTAACTCACGCCGTTTTGACAACGTTCACAATTACTTGTGAAAACTATTCCTGCACACGTTGCTTCCCTGAGCCTCAGACCTATTTAAAATAGACACGGTGCTCTGATTGACAGCAATTTCAATTGCATCTTAAAAGTATTAAGAAAGAACTGTTCAGAAAAAGATACTTGTGCTGTAACTAACAGTTGCTTACAGTGTCTCTAGACACAAAACCCTATCACCTCTCATTAGCAGACAGTTATTTCCAATAATGGTATCAAAGCATTGGCAAAGAAAAGGGAGCTCTTTCTACAGTCTGCTTCCTTATACAGTATTCCCTGTTAGGGAGCCTTATCACCGAACACTGACTTCAGCAGTCACCTAATAAAACTGGACTCAAGCAGAGCTCAGGATGAATTGAACAATTTAAAAACTTTTAAAAAGCAGGTTCCCAGCCTCAATTTCTGTTCCCCTGAACAGCAGCAGCAATAGCATGGGAACTGTCCTGGAAGGATGGAGGTAGGACTATGTGCTGAACAGTAGATTATGTGACAACAGTGTGATTAAGTAACAATAAAACCACATTAACAGTCCTGTATTTAAAAAAAATGGAAGTTTCAGAAGCAAAAGTCTTAAGCAGCAAAATAGGGATGGTAAGAGGAACAGGCACCCGCTATAATAAGCCAGCAGAAGAGCTAACAGCATCTCACCCCATCCAGGCTCCACAGCATGTCCCAAACTCAGGAAAAGGCTGAGAGGCTGCTCTACAGTGCAAGTGGGAGCAGAAGTTTCAGAACTGAAGGAACAGCGTGCAGGAGGTGTGCATTTGCACAACAGACCCATCATCTGGGCTGTCAGCTGACGCTGGCACCATTTGAAGTGCGTCGCTGCTTCACCACCCTTTGAGCTGGTGCCTAATGCCACCCTTGAGAGACACTAAAGGCTGCTTCTGGGGAAGCCACTTAGCTCTCCCAGCAGAGCGCTGCTGGTGACAGGAGATGAGAAGCAAGGGCAATGGCTAGGTGCTGCTTAAGTAAACTGAGGCTTTGGGCTCAGAACGCCAGATCATGTCACTTCATCCTGGACAGTGTTCTCAGGACACGCCAAGGAGCTCAAGAGCCAGGGAAAAGTATTCTCCACTAGCAGTCCTGCACCGTTGCTGCTTTGACTGTTTAATTCTTGACTAGACTTTGAACAAGATGAGGAGTTTACAAATTAAAAAAATAAACAAACAAACAAAAAAACCCAACAGTACCAGAAGGGGAAAGCTGCTTATGATACTGAGCTCATTTGGCTGACAGTGGCAGATGTGGAATATACATGAGGGGTTTTTTTTTCCCACATTGCTCACCCAACATTTTCACCTTTTCCTATGGCAGTTAAGGCTTCCCTGTGCGTTCCTGAACAGGCACAGCCAGTCATATCCTGGGGGTATACAGAGGATGAGTTTGGGATTCCAGATAAATGAAAGTAAATATAAAGTACTACAGCAATAAAAGATAGATGGAGCTTATTTCCTTTTCTTTAGAGCACTGTAATAAAAGCTCCAGCTTCCGGGTGGCGTTCGTGGGACAGCACTAGGGTTTTCCAAATACCTCCCTGTATTGTCTGTAAGACACTTTGTGCAAATTTGGCATGAAGCACCTGTCACCCATCATTACAGCTGTGCATACAGTTCACCTAAGAAATATATAATTAAAAGTTATCTATATAATATCCAAAGGACCAATGTCACCACATCTGAAAAGCGAAATTCCGACATGACCGTTTCACCCCTGCCAAGTACCAGTGCTGTTGTCAACAATTCACACAACTCAGCCTTGTATCTACAGCAAAAGGCTGCAGAGTCTGTCATTAGCACGGCTACTACACGTTTGTTCTGAGTCAAAACGAATCTCTACTTCAGCTGGATTTTTTGGCACTTTGGCGAGAAAGCTCCGGACAGCTGGAAGAGGTCTGCTCAATGATTTTTTGTTTTCTTCTTTGTATCAATTTTCCACCTGTGAAACCCAAAATCCCACCACCAAGCGCAGCTGCAATTCCTGCCACTTTGAAGCCTGCAAGGAGACCAATAGGACCCCCCACCACTCCACCAATGACTGCACCTGCCACAGGCAGCGCTGCCAGCTTGTATTTTGCAGCCTGTAAAAGGGGAAAAAAAAAAAAAGAAAAGTTAGAATTCTTGCCTGTGGCGATGTGCATTTTCCCCTCATTGCTCTTGGCAATGACTCGAATGCTCAGTGATAAATAAACTTTAAAAAGAAAAGTTAGAATTCTTGCCTGTGGCGATGTGCATTTTCCCCTCATTGCTCTTGGCAATGACTCGAATGCTCAGTGATAAATAAACTTTAAAAATTAGTATTTAAAAAAAAAGATGATCTACTATCCCACATGTATGACAGAATGTACTGGAAACAATTCAAAATTGAGCTCTCTCACACATGCAGTTGTGAGCCAGGTCCTTTTACACGCTACTGCCTCATTATTTAATACCACTATTTAATACCTGGTCTCCATCATTAAATCAAATGAGTAACTGGGAAAATGCTCAGACTTTTCAGTAACATGCCCAAATCTGGGTTTGTGGCTTCTTAGCAACTATCCCTGACATCTACATGGAACGCGACTGAAATTGCATGCTTATTTATTTCATTCTTGTGAGCCAACTGTGGAATGCTCTTGTCTTTGCAGGTAAATCCAGGTAGCATCAGAATAGCATAAAAAAGGCCAAAAAAAACCCCAACCCATATTTCCTAGTAGCCTGGATGCGATAGAAAATTACAGGAGAGATTGATTATTTTTTTCCCCTGCTACCTGTGGGTCATTTCTTCCTTATTTCCTTAATTGCTGGCTCCCTCGTCATTAAAGACGGCAGATCAATGGGGTTAATACAGAGGATTGCTGGGAGGCCGAGTACCATTGATTCACCAGCAGGAGCAGATCCCTACCTTCCCCAAGTTTTTGGTTCCCTCTTCAACATTCACAGCAGCACTGTTGACATGGTCTTCAATCCTGTCAATCTTCTCCTGCTGCGACTAGATGCAAAGGAATTATGAGTGAGGTGACCTGCTGGGAAGCAGCAGTGAGCCAATACACACCATTTTAATGCCTGTAATCAGGGCCCCACAGCCGCTTTCATCTGCTACACACTGCAGCCGTGCAGCCTTAATGGTGCTTCATTAATAGCATCTGATCAACTGTGCTGAAACTGCAAACTTACTTTAAAAAAAATCTCAACTATTAAACAATAATACGGTGTGTGCATTAGACAATGTGTTGCTGCAGTTAAAACAACGCAAAACATATGATTTCTAAAGCTTTTCTGTGAATAGATGAACTCGTGTTCCAAAGGGAAAAATAATGCAAACTAGCCTTTTTGTTTCCTGCTGAGTTTCATGTTCAAAAAAAAATTCTATAAAGAGCATTTATAAGATCAGTACCAGCACCGACATACAAAGCTGCACCAAGAAATCTAAATAGAAGCATTTAATCATGACATTATAAAACCCTGACTTAACTTTACAAATAGAGTAGTGGCAGTACTGAAAATACACTTGATGTTGCTCTGTATTTAAGTGTTTAATTTTACAAAAACATTCCATCCCTTCTCCAAATGCAGTCAGATTCCCCTGCAGTCTCTCTCTGAGCAAACTGGAGCAGAAGATAAAGGGGGTTGTGGGTTTGTTTGTTCTTATTTTAATCTCAGCAGTACCCAGGCTGGTTTTATGTCATAAAATAATGAGATGGAAAATGTTCAGCTTAAAATAAAAGACGTTCTGAACGTTTTTTCCCCTCTTTCTAATTCAAAAACTGCTGAATCCATGAACTCTGGTATCCTCATCTACTATCCAATCCACACACTGTAGATGTTTGCTCTTACAGCTAATGATGGTTATGTGTAAAATCTGGAACAGGAACTCCCAGTTTTAGCTAAAGCTGCCAACATTTAGGCTACTAAATAAAAAAATTTGTAGTCCCTCTCCAGCCCAATGAATCTTAGTCTTTTTTTTTTTGTATATGTGAAGCAGCACGTATTCTGAGGCAAGGATAAAAGCTATTTTATCTATCCCACCTAGCCCAACAGCAAGGAGATAAAAGAACTCTCCTAGGAGATAAAAGAACTCTCCTAGGAGATAAAAGAACTGTGGGTTTAAATTCCCTGTGGCAAAGGAAGAACTAAACGTTGGAAACTGAGTGTGGATGATGAAGATGCACAACCTTCTGGCAGCTACATGAGCAGAGAAAGTGCAGGATAGAAGTGAGGGGAGCTTCAGAGTTTTCTAGTACTCCTGACAAGCGAGAAAAAGTACCCGAGAAACACCCACCCTGTGCAGAGAAGGTTATTGTCACCATTGTGATTAGAAATCCTAAAAATGAATGGGACCTGGGTAGAAGTCTGCAGTCAACACTGTAGAGCTTCTACTAATGTTCAGCTGGTGGCCAGGGGTACTGGCTAGAACATCAGGAGTTGCTCTGGTGACAAGAACTTGGGAGGAATTACCAGCATTACTGCTGAACCATTGCCTCCTCAAAAAATTACCTTGATAGTGCCTGAATCAATAGGAGAACCACAAAGATACTTGTAGCAGTGAGTCACTGATGTAGGGCAGGGAGAGCTGTTAGTTTTCTAACCAGATGGGGCAGCTGAGTAGTTAAACTCATGCTTTTGAACATTCCTCTTCTGTTGGCACTTGGAAAATCAAAAGAAAACCTTCCACCTTACTGCTAGACAATTTGATGTAAATGTGATATGCATCATCTATGACTTTGGAAAATATCTAATGTATTACCTATTTCCCATAGGTCCCAAGTAGCAAAGACAGGACCTTCATGCAGGCATCCCAGCTCCCTGTGGGGAAACTGCTCTGCCTCTACGGGCATTTTCCTGATGTTCCCAACAGTGACTAGGATTTTGTAGTCTTGAATATTGGCCTGAATAAATCCAGTTAATGTTATCCTGCTATCCCGCCACTTTGATCAAGCAGTAGTAGCTCAGTCCCACTTCAGATCACGGGCAGAAGTATTGCTTATCTTTTTTCCCCCCCAGGTAGGATTTACCCATTTGTCCTCTTTCTGTACCAGACTCTATGGAGGATAGAATAACAAATTAATACTTACGCTGACTAAGAGAGAAAAATCAGTCACCAACTGACTGAGCTGAATCAAGTCCTACAATAAAAAACAAATGTTATTTTGTATTAGTTGCTATAAACAGGAGCACCAGCGTGGCAGTAAGGGAGTTTCCACATACCCCTTCTAAAGTTTCCCAGGACTCAGCTGCGTTTTCTTCCTGAGGTATTTCGGGAAGGCGGGAGTAGATCTGGATTAAACTTTGGGAGCCGTCCTTCACTTCTGTGTTAGATAAAGTTTCTGAATGAGAAACATGATGCTGGTAAATAAATGCACTGGATCAGAATGCAGGTGATGTGCAAAGTTTCACATTCTTAATGTTTCTCAAGGATGAATTGATACCTAATTCAAGCCAAGGAACAACCCTGAAAGTGATCATACAGGGAAAAGCCTTACAGCACTAGACAGTTTCTTAAAAGGAAGTTATTGCCAAAGAAATTAATTCATTTCTATCAGTGCCCATTCACAATCAGTTCTGATATTAAGTTATACCATGGAATTCAGGGTCAGTTAATTAATTTTGTATCAACCAAGCTAAGAAAACTGAGCTCAGGACAAAATCTTTTTCATTTACAAACGACACATAAAAACCACGCTTCCAAAACTGAACCAACAGTTATTCATTTTATGATTGATTATTTATGCCCCTGGTTTGGTTGTCAGCCATGTGGGACTGAAAGAAGCTGGAGGAAAAGGCTTTGGAAGTAAAAGCAGTGAACAGCAAATAAGGTGCTGCCCAACATTCAGTGCAGGATCCAGTCGGGCAACGGTCCTGTGAGGATGACAAATGTTTGCAGCTCAGCAGTGTAAAGGAGATATTCTCAAGTATCTCCCTTTCCAAATCACCTGGAGTGAGTGCAAAAGGCATTAGGAGAAAGGGCAGTGGGAAAAACAGGGAACGAGAGACAGGTGGGTGGCACGGGGGGAGAGCAGATAGAACGAGCAGACACGCACGTGCCTTCTCCAGTCAGAGAGCCCAGTCTTGAGCCACTACAGGTGTGATGGACACGAGCGTAATTATGGACAAGTAATTACACGGTAATAAAGCATAACAACAAGCGAGTTTGTCTTGTCCCAGCAAGGATTAAGGAAAAGCTTGAGAGTATGAAAGGCAGACTGGAGAACATATGTATGTAACACAGTGCAATGTTAATCATCATCAACCATAAATTAACAGATCATGTTAATTTAGGCAACTTCTGAAGGAAGTTTCTGAAGGAAGAGAGCTACTTCGGTAGGATACCGACGTTTCCTCCATGGGAGGGTGGTATCAAGAGAAAGCTTAATATGGGGAAGACTGGTTAGATATGTCTAACAATAATAAAGTGTAAATATTGCATTAAAATGTTCTTTTGAAACAATTAATGTACCAAGGTACTATAATAATATTATATAACTGTTACTGTAACAGATATGAACAATGGAAAACAAATAAAAATAATCGTAGTCAATAAAAAGCGGTAATAATGCATGCTTACTCATGGAATTAATTTAAGATAAAATAAAAATGATACATTTTCATAACATTGTCCATTTTTCAACATTTTTATCCCAGTATCTCAAAATACATTAGGGACCTAATCTTCCTACTTTCAGATCAATGTAAGTCTAACATCAATGAAGCCGATATTGAGCTGTATTTACTAAGTAAGCAGAGTAGCAGAGTAACAAGGATGGAGTAAGCCATTTGGTGTTTTATTTTGGGCTTTTTTTTTTTTCTTTCTAATTATTTCTACGCCTCTTCTTTTAAGAATCCAGACATGGAAGGCCCTTCACCTTCTGCCGTCATCACCTGTTCTTCCAGAACATATTTTTCATCTATAGCATCAGATTAATTAATATTATATATCCAGTTCTGAAATATTCCTTTTCTCTTTCCAGTATAATTAATCATACATCTAAATGTGTCCATTTATGGATAAGCCAATTCTGCTACATACTCTGACATTTAACATCGTTTTAAAGTATTTTATTCCATTTCAATCCTTCAATCTTATTTCAAAATCACATTTCTTCTGCCAAGAAAAGCATACTCTTCCCTAATCATGCATGCTAAGTTGGTTGAAATTAAAACATTCATAATTCAAAAGCAAAAAAAAAAACCCAAAACTACTACTCACTAAGCACAATTGCCTCCTCGCAAATTATGTTCCCTATTCTGTTCTGTCTTTAATCTAAGCTGACCTATTGTAGAAAAGCACATCCTTCAACACAGAAGAATGATACTGAAGTTTTGCATGACACACATTCAAGAGAACTTAATTATAAGTAGGTTTACAGTGTTTTCATTTTCTACTAACTAAAAATTAGTGGAAAAAACATTCCTCAAGAAAATTCTTTAATCAAAAAAACCTAAAGAATAAAAAGGGTAAGAGAAGGTGAACTGACATTTGGGCTGAAAGTATGAGTAAGAAATTTATATTCACTAGTTCATGTTTTATCAAGTTTAACCAATTTTAATAGAACTGAGATTGGAAGTGGCTCCACCAGTTCCCTTACAGCATCTCCACAGAAATGCAGTAATACAAAACACCTCTGCAGATTTTATAGAGCAGCTTCGCACCTCATTACACTCAAGATAAAAATCTAATGCTCCAGAAGATTCAATATGTTGGTTAAAAGATCTTAGTAATTTTAAGAGTGGAGTCTCACCTTTTGTTAATATTTGTTCAAAATGCAATTAAATTCCCTTTCTATTGGACCCGAGGCGAGGATGGTGAAGGGGGGAAGGGACCAAATCATTTCAGTGACAGTGCCTTCTAAATGGGCGATTTGAATTTGTAAACTCCTTCCTTCTCTACCAGATGGGAAGCAACATGCCACAAAGAATGGGCCTACTGAAGCTCCTTTGATTAAGATCAGCAGCCAAGATTTGCTTTCAGGACTGCAGCCTCTAAGCACAAAAGAATAGGCAATATATTGCATCTGTGTTAGCAATTCAACAGAGCTGCTTTCACTGTCAGGCAAACTTGAAAAAAAAAACATATCTGTTTAATTGTATTTAGTTGTCTGCCTGTCTGTATGTTTCATTTTAAATGGGGTGAATTATTTCCTGTATTCCTCAGCAGACTTGCAGGAGCGTTGTCATTCCGGTAATATTTTTCTGTTCTTCTCATCCCAATCTCTCCGATCAATTTCTTGTCTTTCTGAAGTGCAGTTATGCTCAGTGTCCTTCGTACTTTAAAGGTATTTCAGATTAAAAAAGCAACCCTGTTCTTTGAAATTAAACTCTAGTTCCCATTTACTACCTATGTAACTGTTGGAAAAGCAATAAGCCAAGACAAGGCCTTTCCAATGAAATACCAGAATGTATTAAGGACAACTGCAGAAAGTTACCAAAAGAAGACATATTTTAAATTTAATTCTGATCGTAACAGAGAAGAGCTCACAAAGAGCCTGAAAGTAACGGCTAATATAGATGAAGGGGATCATTGAATACCAGAGTTCACTATTCTAAACTCAAGAGTAGAAGAATAAAGACAATGAGCTCCCTCTAAAAGAGCTATTAACACATTTGGCAAACTGATTAATAGGGGGAAGAAGTTCCTAAAGGATAACGGCCTGCAGAAGAGCTGGCAGACACTAATAAAACAGGCTATTCTGAAGATGACAGCAAATTGTCCTGATGCAGAGGAAAATGTTTATGGATTCAGCAAGAACTCTTCAATGCCCTGGATATCAAGAATTTGACACATAATTGAGTACATTTTGTAGAGAAAGGAGAGAAAACCAGCAAACATTTGAGCAACCAGGTCTACAGGGAGGTGTCCCTGCCCATGGCAGGGGGGTTGGAACTTGATGATCTTTAAGGTCCCTTCCAACTCTAACCATTCCATGATTCTATGACTTGTAGCATGTTATAGTGTGTTTTCAAAATATTTTCTTTAAATGGATTTATACTGTTTTCTGCTTTCTTTACAGTTACCAAAATAAAATGTTACAGGAAGAGACGTTCTCCTTTATATAGAAACTTGCTCCTCTTTTCCCAGTGTTTCAGCAGTGGCATATTATACTGTCTGTCACAAAAAAATTGTTTTCTTCTTGACGTCGCAAACACTAATTCAATGAAAATGGCCTAAATGATCGCTCACACACAACCAAGTGATTTGCAGGGGCAGGGGAAAGAAGTCAAGCTACTGTGAAACATGAATATAAGTGTTCTTAATATGAACAGTCTATTTCAAGACTGAAGGCTACAGGATCTTTTTCATGAAAGGCCACAACTATCTAATTTCTTAAGATACTTTAACTAGAGCATTCTTCACTTATCAAAACTCAGTCATAGGTCATGAGAAAAGTGTGGTGTAGAGAAAGAAAATCCACTTCTTGATTAACAATTATTCTTCAACTGAAATCTCATTTGTTTACTTGTTACTCTGGTCAGAAAACACGGATTAAATACAACAATATAGAATATCAGAGATACAGAAATTAAATTCTACTACCTCCTCCTACAGTTGCAGATCTGGTTAAAGAGGCATCCTCCTGTCTTTCAAGTTGCTTTTTAAGTTCTTCTGCAGATTCAGAATGGAGCTGCAGGAAGTCTTTTATGGCAAATGAAGCTTCCTCTTTGACTGGATTTATCATTCTCTGCAGAACTGGGATGTCTTCCTGTCGGACTCGCAAACAGAGTTTCTCCATCTCTCTCATGTTGGCTCGGAGTTGCTGTAATAGTTTTAAAAGTTATTTTGTAGCTTACTACATAAGGGCACCAGACACCTTTCGTGTTTGGGAAGCAACTATCATCTTGATTATCTTTAAATAAGCACAATAATAAATAGCATTTCTAAGTTTTAATAAACTACGACACAAAAAAACCCTCAAAAGTGCCAGCTTTCAAACAATCACAGAATGATACGGGGTTGGAAGGGACCTCTGGAGATCTAGTCCAATCCCCCTGCCAGAGCAGGTCACACAGGAACGCATCCAGGTGGGTTTTGAATGTCTCCAGAGACGGAAACTCCCCCACCTCTCTGGGCAGCCTGTTCCAGTGCTCTACCACCCTCAAAGTATCATGTTTAGATGGAACTTCTTATGTCCCATTAGGCATTGACCAGATCCCCCCTCAGCCTTTTCTTCTCCAGACTAAAAAGACCAAAGTCCCTCAGCCTTTCCTCATAAGAGATGTTCTAGGCCCCTAATCATCTTTTTAGTCCTCTGCTGTACTCCCTCCAGCAGTTCCATGTCCTTCTTGTTCTGGCTGGGCCCAGAACTGGACACAGTACTCCAGATGGGGCCTCACCAGGGCAGAGTAGAGGGGCAGGATGATCTCCCTCACCCTTCTGGTCACACTCTTCTTGATGCACCCCAGGATGCCATTGGCTTTCTTGGCCACAAGGGCACATTGCTGGCTCATGGTCATCCTGTTGTTCACCAGGACTTCCAAGTCTTTTTCCTTAGAGCTGCTCTCCACCAGGTCAGCCCCCAACCTGTACTGGTGCTTGGGGATATTCCTCCCCAGGTGCAGCATCCTACACTTGCCCTTGTTGAACTTTAAAAATCTATAATGCTCTGAAGCAAAATAATTTAATTGCTCATTTATTTTTTTTTTCCTATTTTCAGCTTTTCAAAAAATGGTTTTGAGGTCTCCTACCTCGAGCGTTACTGCACACAGAAAAGTTGGAGCCAAAGGAAAAGTCCTTAATCAAATGCATCTCCTACTTTTTAAGACACTGCCTACCTTCAATTATTATTTATTCCTTTAAGGAAATAAGCCAAGGCAGAGCGGTGGCTGAGTTTGGTATGTGAGCTGCACACACAGCAATTAAAGCCGACAGTGACGCTGAGCGAGACAGCGATTAAGTCACCTCACCCAGAGCTCAAAGCTGTCCACACAGGAAAGTGCCAGGGTACTTCCAAGGGCTTCTTACTTGGAGGTGCCACCACATCACACCCAGCTTGCTAAGTCTGTTCTATTTTTAATATTTGCTTGGGCTTGTGAGTTTGCTCACTTCTCTATCTATTAAAAAAAAATGAATGGGGATGGCAGCTCCCAACACAGCAGTCCCTAAAAGGTGCAGGGAGGCATCACCGGGACATACTGTGGAGTCTTTTTGGATGTGGGCTACTTTCCACTGAGGAAACTGAGCCATCTGCCCCAGGAGAATAAGAACCAAAGGTCAAAGAAGAGATAGTACCTGTTATCTCCTCTGGTGAACTAATTAATCCGTAGTTATCACCCAAACACAAAACAGGGGAGACATATTTTTGAAGCCACCCCCATCAATATTTTGATTTTCCTGCTGTCAATTTTATACTTGATCCACTTCTCCATTTTGTTTTATTTTGGGTTTCAATTAAAGTATTTAACTAATTAATTCTCTGTGATTACTGAAGTTACTTCAGTATCTGTGATCAATTTAGGCCTTCGCCAAAATATTTACACAAGTTGCAACAAGCTAAAATAATAGCCAAATAAAAGAAGTGAATGCTTCTCTCTTACTTTTTTTTTCCACAATATTTATATTCTTTTTTCAGAAGAAGGACAAATGAATTTGTTTGATTGGAATATAAAATACAGAAGTTTTTTTATTGCCTAGGCTTTTAAAATCTAAAAATGCACACAACTTTTCTTTTTCTACAAATGAAAAGAAGAAATTTATACTTCAAATTATACCAGTCATTGTTTTAGGACGGAGTTTTTATCGAATTATATAAAAAATAAGGCTGTAATAAAAATAATATTCATTGTATTACATTACAATATGATATAATACATTATTTCTTGCACTATTTGCCCATTGTTTTGTATATTATTCTCACAGCAGAACAACAGAATGGATTAACACCAGTGAGTTGTTAGAAAAAGGAAAGGTTTTCTTCTGTAATACAAAGCAGGTACAGGTAATGCCTTAGAAAGGTAATACTGCTTACCTAGAAAAGGAAGAACTAACCAGAAATTGCTTTATTTCTATACACTACTAGATTATTTTTTTTTTAACATGTATGAAAGAAATAGTAGAAATAGAGAAGAAGGAAATTAATTAAACAACAAATTGAAGTAACACTGCACGAAACATATTAGGCGACCAAGGAAAGAACTATTGATTCGTAAAAATCATTTGTCAAATTACTAAGAGTATATTCTATTGTATGCTTAAATTAAGAGTACTACTTGACAATTCAGGTGGCATGATTTAAGACTAACCCCAGGTAAAAAAACTGATTAGCAATTAAAAAAGGGAGATACAAAAACTAACTTTGTAAGATATTGAGTTGAATTAGAAACACAGTGCCCAATAATTTTCCTCATACGTTTCTCATATTAATCTACCTTGCTCTTACTCTTACTTTCCTCCCATTGTCTGCCCATAAGTACTGATAAAGGGAGAATGTCATCACTGTCATTGTTCACCACGTGCTTTGTTGTATCTTGAAATTTCATTTGAAAGGCAAAACAGGACTATCTAGGCACAACATTTAATTATCTATTTTGTGAGAATTATATGTAGAGAGCCCAGTGAGTCGATCCTGCTGTTTTGTTTCAGGAAACAAAATTATTATTATCCTGTCTTTGGCCATAATGAAGACAAAAAAACAATACGCCAAACAAACACATGTTGTGGAACAGTGACAATAGCTGCTTCCAAAGCAGCTTCATTATTAAAAAAAAAAAAAAAAAAAAGAAAAATTTCCCAGTTGAAATTGAGTTAAAACATAAGTCTGCTAGGGATTTGCACCACTGCCGCTGGGGCAAATTACCAGTATAGCCAATGCATGGGTATAATGAAGACGGTTACTGGGCAGTGACCAAACCACCAACTCACTGCTGGAGTTTTCAGAAGTCCTGAACAGCAGCTTCAAGTGAAACGAACTACCCACCCCAAGGAATGGCTAAACTAGATGGTCACTTTCACTGTTCATTAGTACCTCGCTGATCAAAGAGAAATATTTGTGAGAAAGAAGATGGAGGAATCAAATGATGGTATTTGCCTATTTGGTGAAATTTAATTTTAATACCTCTTCCTTTATGGTTTTGGAGAGGACTCTTGTTCCATTTATTGTCAATGAAACAGAAGCTAAATGGATTCAACCTAGCACGACAGCTAAGCCCCACTGTGGGGAGACATGTCTTAGGAGCTCACTGGGGTGTAACGTGATAAATGTCACAGATATGCAAATGACTGTGACTTCTTTCATAATCATTTTAATGGGACAGAGTTTAATTTCTGGGTAGAGCATAAAAGTTTATCATGCTCTTCCCAACTATTTCCACTTTTAAAACCAAGCTTACTCAGCGAAGAAGGTAATGCAAAATCCTGATTGCATTTATGGGAACTCCCGAGTTTCAAACTCTCCAAAATTCAGCCCAAAAGACATGGAATTTTTCTTTGTAATATTTGCAATTTCAGTTCCTTAGCTTTCAAAACCAAATAACAGCCTTTGTTTCAAATGGCTTTCTCACAGTAACTGTAGAACAATAAAGCTGGCGAAAACCTTGGGAAGTCATCCCTTCAAAGCATGGTCTGCTGTCCCTATTTTATTTCTGACAGTTGTTTATCTAATCAGGTCTTAAAAGGACGTCTTTATGAAGAGCTACAACCTCCTTGATATTATATTGCAGGAACTCATTATCCTAATTGCTACAGCATTTTACTGACGTCTAACAGAAATCTCCCTTGCATTAGATCAAACCAGGTACTTTTAAGCCTCTCTGTTCACAACAGAGAAAGGCAAGCCCTGTCCTCTCTGCAACCATCTTTCCCATGTTTGCAAAAAGACAGCACACCATTGTTAGGTGTTCTTTGGGCAAAATAACTAATTTGTCAGTCTTTCCAAAAAGGTCTCATTTCCCCAGTTTCTGACTATTTTCATCGCTCTCCCTGAATACTCCCCGATTGTCCCATACCTTCCTTAAAATGTGTGGTGCCCAAACTGGACCAACTATTCTACCTGGGATCCTACTGGGGCTGACCAAAGAGATTCTATGAGAGACTCTCCTGTTTACACATCTCACTAGGTTATTTGGCTTTTTTGTGTATCCCCACCACACAACTGGGGCACTTTTACTCTGTGTCCCTCAAATCCTCTTCTGCAGAAGCGCTGCCCTAACAGCTTCCCATGCTGGATCGATACAGCCAACCATTGTCCTTGTCCTCATCCTCATCCAGAAACATACTGATTTTTCAGGTCTTTTTCTTAATATTATTATGAACTCTAATTCTGTTCTCTCCACCAGAATCCCTTAGTCTCTCCCAGCTTTATGCTGTTTTCATATACTTGCTATATAATGAAACTAATGTGTGGGACTGAAACAGGGACATGAAGTCTGAGCTCAATTTTTCTGAAGCGTCCACAAATTTGGAGGTATGTCTGGGAGATCCACCAAGATGGTGGATTCACTATATTATGTGAATAATGGGATTTTTTTCAGAAAAGTAAATGAGAAGTGGCATGGTTTTCACAAGTACTGCGAAAAAAAAGTAATAATCTATTGACTCTATCAACACATCCAAAATGGAAAGAAGTCATACATAATGAAGTTGCACTGATTTTCCACTATTTTCAAAATCTTTACAAACAGATTCAATAAAAAATAAAAAATAAATTATAAATTTCTGTCAGAAAGTAAAATACGAAAGGAGACAAATGAGCCAAAGGAGGACTTCTTTTAAACTTTTAAAAATAAATAAATAAATAAATCACTGTTGCTGAAAATGACCGTACCCATCTGTCCATTAAGCTTACCTTATTACTCAGCACACAGTTTTAAATAACTAAGAGAGGGTATTATTGTAAGTATTCAGTTTTTTTGAATTACCTTTAAAATCACACAAAGTATCTTTCCATATTCTGCTCCTCCTAAGCAGTTTATGAATGGCAGTTACACTACGGATGTCTTGGACATATGAGAAAAATGACAGACTCCCTAAGGAATTCAGAAGTCTTAACAGCAATTTTCTGCAAGCCAATAAACCTTATACAAAAGAGTAGAAATTCTTCATTTTTTTTTTCAGTATTTGCTTTTCAGAGCAGTAATTTTTCTTCACCACTAGTGACAGTTCAATTTTCAAAGTAATGTAACTTGATGAAAAACAGATGCCACGTTTCCATAGGCTTACTGTAGGCTGCCTTAAAATATCATCATCACTTCACACTCAAATACTTAACACTCGGGACCACCACCACCAATGTGATAGCAGCAACACCTGTCTCTTGGGAGCAACCAATTTCATTACAACTGAGAAAAAGTAAGGGATGACAACAAAGAAGGGAATAATGGAATTCCTATCCAACTGCAGATAAATGCATACAGCGACCTGCAGTACCGTGCCACGGCAGAGAGTTTGGGCTACATTGCCACAGCATGCTGTTGCTTAAGGAAAAGAGGTAGGAACAAAGAGCATGACATCTCAGTGCTTCAGTGCTGACCCAACATGAGGCCCTCCAGGCACCAGGATAACCAACAGGTCTCCATGGATATATCTTGTACAAATGTTAAAGGGCTGAGAGGTTGGACGGGGCTCTGAGCAATCTGATCTAGTTGAAGATGTCCCTGCTTGTTGCAGGGGAGGTTGGATTAGATGACCTTTAAAAGGTCCCTTCCAACCCAAAACCATTCTATGATTCTATGATCACCACCTTTGAAAAGGCAGAAACTATTTGAGGTGTAGGATTATTTCCCTGTAATGTGGTATCTCTACCAGTTATGGAAATATCTGAAGTTCCATCTAAGGTACACAACAGCTATTTTCTCAGTACTTCTGAAAAGGTGTCATCATGCCCTTCACAAAGATTTTTCCAGTTTCTTCACTTTTCTTTTTAGAAGTTTTTAATGTGCCATCCAGTCACCAGAAAGAACAGGTATACATTTATGCCCATCTATACTTCTATTATAATTTTGACCACCATCAAAAGTACAACAGAAGTAATTATTCTGGGTAAACTGAAAATTCAGAAAAATGGCTAATTATGTGCACATGGATTAAATGTAGAGTGGCTGTGCATATATTTGTCTAAAACCTGTGGCGGATGCCTTGGGTCAATATTGACTTAGGGATTCCTAATGTATTTTTACAACATCTAATTTTGAGAGCAAAGTGTGTGCTGCAGAGAACATTTCGTATCACAATAATTAATCTGATTTCTTCGCAAACAAACAGATCACAAGTCCATTGGTAAACATTTAAACAGCTTACAGCAAACACATTCTACATGTCATATAATTTATTATCAAGTACTCCAGACTCCTAACTATTTAATTAAAACAAAGAGCTAGTCTACTCTTCTTGCATGGACCCAGATACTTATTCTGCTCTCTGGGTATCAGAATGTGAACCACTTTGATGCATAACTTGCGTCCAGCTCTAAAAGTAATAAGCATTAAATAAAATACAAAAAAAAAAATATTTTGGCTGAAAGTGAAAATGGCAGGCTTTAGGTTCAAGGCAAACATAAATGTTTCCAGAGACAAATATGAGGTTTTATTACTAAAGCTCTTAATGTATTTGAAAATATCATCTTCAATGTGATTACTTTTTCTCTAATTATTGATAGATTTTCTCTTGATAAACAAATTATACTGATAATTAAGAGATGCAAGAGAAGCCTTTCCTACCTCTCAGATGTGAAAACAGATTAGAGCACAGACATAAGCAAACATGTTTACTACACCACACCTCTTAGAGGGCTGTTGTTTTAGAAGGACTTGCACCTTTGGAAGACTCTTTCAATATTAAGAATAAACTTATCTTACATTCAAATTTCAAAAATGCTCAGTGAAAAATCAAAATAAGCATTCAAACCTCCAAACAACAGAAAAATCAAGTGAATCTCATAAATAACTTCTTATAATCTAGACTAGAAAAGCTCATTAACACCTTCAATTCCTCTGAAAACATGCAGAACTGCAGCTCTGCCTACTGTCTAATTTTGTTGCTCAATCAGGATTAAGTTCTTCTCTCTGAGTTTTTTTCATTTTCTGTCTGGTCTACTTTCCCACAGCAGTTAGTAAGACACTGCAACAAACACAGGGATTTACAACATTAGAACGATAAAATACAGCGGTTTAGGACTGTGCTATCCCTTGCTGGCAAAGCAGGCTCATCTGGATGCAGCACGGGTCACAAGGGTTTGTTCTAGTAACCAAGTCGTGCCCCTTCTCTAACAACACCTGTGAATCCAACACAAGATGCTTCTCCTGCTGGCAAAGATGTGTCTGTCCCCCAATTTTTGCCAGTACAGCATGTTATAACCACTAGCTCAAATCAGCACCTAGCAGTTCAGATCTGGTCTTTGTGTTTTTCTGTACTGATAATGTTCTTTGGCTGTGTGCTGTTTAGCAGCATGAAGGCTGATGTTTGGCACTAGCTTTTGCATCATTTTCATCAGGACGTGCATTTTTTTAGAAATAGATGTGAGATTCCCTGCATGCTGAGTTATAGGTGACTGTGCATGAAGTCACTGAGATGATGCTGTGCTGACAAATGTGTCTGGTATTTCCACCTTTGATTATATTATGCATCTAATAAGACATTTGCACACCAAACCAGTAGTCCAGATGTTCTGTGTTTGGTCTGAAACCATATTGTTAATTTTAATTAACTGTATCCCTTATTGCAATTCCTGTCTTCTAATTTAGTCATGTAAGAGGACAGTTTGCAAAAGAGCAGAGTCTCCAAACTTTTGTTTGTTGAAGAATCCTGAAACATTTCTGACTGTATTTGCCTCATAGGACACAATTAGAAAATCCATACCTTTTAAACAAAGTAAAGCAATGCCATGTACTTGTCAAATCTACCTGTCAAATACACATCTCTGCGAAGAACCACCCCTGAGATAACCAGTACTATTTATATAATTTACTTCCATTAATATCACAGTCATTTTAATATCCTTACCTGAACGGTTCGTCCTGCATTAATGTGCTCTTCGTGCAATCTGTCCCAGAGCCTGCATCTTTGATACTAAAATAAAGGAAAAATACTCCATATAATGGCTATTTTTACCAACTAGCTAGGCAGAAGAAAGGAATCTTCAGTAAATAATCACTTTAATTTTCCAAAATTGACAGTGAAGAAGCTGAGTCATAAGCATTTCCACTGCAAAATTAGAGCGGTAAATAGCAATGTATTTTGTGAATAATTTCATACAATGTCTTTTACTGAACTGAAGATAACCAGGGTTTCAGCATCATTTCGGCATCTAACAACAAAGAGATATTGCAGCATCCTGATACTGCTGTGGCAAAATAACTCAGTGGTCAGTAAAACGAAGGGCAGGAGGAGGAAAAAGGAATGGAATAGGGGATAAGCAGGGGATAATACTGAACATATAGAACAAGGTCTCTGATATTATTTACAAAGAGAATCGCATTCATTGCACAACATGGCTATCTACATGGACACTTACATTTCTATATAGTTACAAACACAGTTATGAGAACCATCAGGGCAGACCTGGCACCTGGAGAAGGCTCCACAAACTTCAACAGGAAAACTATCCATCCAGCACTTCCCACCAGACAGAGACCAGAGTAATTATTCCACTAGCACAGAACAAGTTTTGCAACAGAACTGCATATCATCACATATGAACCTTTTCATCATTAAAACATACCAATCCCTGCTATTGCCAGTTGACATAAATAGTATAGAGACATCATCATGAAAAAGAGCAGTAAAATAATACAAGTAGAAGCTGTGATCCCTGGAACATAGGCCAAAGCCATCAAAGAATGCATTTAAAATACTAGAAAATACTAAAACATTCTTTTTAATTGTTTAAATAACAAGACAAAATATTTACCATGATTTCTGAGGTATTTTTATGTTAAGTTTAATCCCTGAATTTTTTAATATGCTTTGTTACCAATAAAAAACTCTATCTACAGCCTACATGTTTCCTTCATTCTTTTCATAATTTTAGAGGTCACAGCAATAAGGATCACAAGTTACTAAGCTTCCTAAGAAACAACAAGAAATCTGAAGTTACTTCTTATTTTCAGAGAAAAAAAAGTTCTTTCATGTTTGGATTTTGTACTGCTATGGAAGAGAAAAGGTTCAGTGTTCAATTAAATCAGATTAAAGTTATTTTTCTGGGAAACTAGCAACTTCTGCATAAATTATTATGCCATTAAAATTACTGCCACTGTTCTTTAAAATAAAATGGACAAAAAAATCTGTATCAACAGTAGATCTTCCAATTCAGTCATCCTTGAAAGAGTACTGAAACAGGAATTTCTGAGGGCAGAACGGAAGGGGCTTGGGGAAATATTACTGTCTCAATTTCAACTGACTGTAACGTATTGTCTGCAGACCGAACAATAAAAAAAATCCTGTTTTCCACTTAAGAATTACAAGAAGAATTCGTCATGAAACCTTTATTACTCTTCATAATTTCCACTAGAAAGGCTCAGCACATTTATCTGCTTTAAATATTTAGAAGTTTTATTACTTTGTTTCAAAATTCCTAGTAAGCTAGCAATGACTTCAAAGAATCCAATGACTTAATACACGCAGAGCAATGACATGTATGCAGTCAGAGAATTCTTCCTTGTTATTCTTCCTTGTTGACTTCTCTTTTTCTTCCAACACAAAGTAGGCCATACTCCTGGGCAATGTTCACTCCAGGAGACTCAAGGACAGCAAACCTTGGCTTTGACATTATTTATCATTAAAAAATACAAGTAAAACTAAGAGGAGCTCATGAAGTAAGAACACTTATGGAATCCTAACCTGTTAAAGCAGGTCCAGAGGAGCGTCATGAAGATGATCAGAGGCCTGGAGCACCTCTCCTATGAGGACAGCCTGAGAGAGCTGGGTTTGTTCAGCCCAGAGAAGAGATGGCTCCAGGGAGACCTGATTGCAGCCTTTTCATGTATAAAGAGGGCTTAGAAGAAAAGACTTTTTACTAAGTACTGTGGTGACAGGACAAGAGGCAACACTTTTAAACTGAAAGAAATTAAGTTTAGATTGGACATAAGAATGAAATTTTTTACAGTGGGGGTGGTGAGACACTGGAACAGGTTCTGCCCAGAGAAGCCGTGGAAGTCCCACCATTAGACATGTTCAAGGTCAGGTGCGAGAGGGCTTTGAGGAATTTGATCTAGCAAAAGATGTCCCTGGCTTGGACTTGATGGTCTTTAAAGGTTCCTTCTAATCCAAACCATTCTGTGGTTCCATGATTCTGTGATATTTAATCGTAATTGTGCTATAGCCACATCGTTCGTATTCCACATCAGAAATACGAAACATAAGGTTACTCTTAGACACTCAAACTCTTCTCCTCTTTGTCCCATTCTCTTTTGAGAGCTCTCTTTAGAAAGAAACCTTCATGCTTATGCTTTGCATCCCTTTCATTTTTCCTTGAAAGTATGCAGTGGACATGGAGAGAATTCAAAGCTTTTCATAATATCCTCAGAATTAATTTTTGTAGTAGGTAGTGCTCACCAGTATTTCTAAAAGCTCTACAATAAATGTCTTACACAAATGTATATACACTGCAATAAGAATCAGGTATCTTAATTTCCCATTTTGTGTCACCTTTATGGACCACAACATAAGGTGCTCAGCAAAAGGAGGTAAAGTGTTTCACACAACATCCTTTAACTTTGGCATAGCCACAGGAAATGAAATTAAAACTCAGAGAGTAACAGAGAAAAGGATGCCATGTCTTACAGCACTTTGGTTTTTAAGGATTGTTGCCTATAACCAACAAAGTTTAGGGCAGCATGCCAAAATTTCCACCTTCCTTTAATACTGTAACGATTGCTTTCATCTAACAGAGGCTAACAGAAAATTGTAACTCTTCTAGAGGCCATCCACTCCATGGAATGGCTATAGAAAACAAGAACTCTTTGGGGAAAACATGGAAAGTAAAAAAAAAAGTCTTCAGAAACTGTCATATGGAAAGTTGGACTCTCAAATAGTTGAGAAGCAATGACAACAGATTTATGGTAGCCACTTCCTCTGAAAAGGTGTACTCAAGGTCAAATTTCATTATATATTGATTTTATAGTTTCTTCAAACAGTGATTTAGTAGATTAATTGTTTGGACTATCTCTGGAACCTAAGGTTTAAATCAATATTCATGAAATGAGGTTAGAGATATTGGCTTCATCATAAGTAAATAATGTTGCTGCTCTAAGCAATTTGACATAATTAGTGATTTTTGCTTAAAAGTAGCCTGTAAAATAAACAGGACCAGATTCTACAAAATTATCCTTTTACCTCTAGGGATGTTTGGTTTACATGGCTGAAAGTTAATTTTACAAAAAGTATTTTAGAGAAAACCATTTAGGTTGCTGATGCTGACAGCTCATAAAAGTACAGTAACACATTCATTATGGCTAAAATGCACGTAGAAGATATAAAATGCAAATTATAATGGAAGTATTTAAACCAAACTATTGCTAGTGTTCTGATAATCTAAAACTAACTAGTGAGAGATACCAAATTCTGATTTGCCATTTTTTAATTCTCACCTCCTCATAAATCTATGGAAAGAGTAAACTTTGGAATACTTATAGTTCTTAGAGCCAAAAAAATATTAAAAAAAAAAAAAAGAAAGAAAGAAACTTTCAAATTTTAAGACTATTACACTGAGTGTAGACCTCATAAAGAATCTAGCATTTAGGGACTTTTCCTACTCAGGTGTATTACTTCTCACAAATGTTTGCGTCTTATACCTTTTGTCAATACATGGAAGCTCTGAACTCCTCAGTACTGATGAATTCCTTCTGGTATAGTTACCAATTGTTTATTTAAAGGTTTTTACCCATAGTCACTTCACTGAATTTCACTGAATTTCTAGAATTGGAAGGGACCATAGAGATCATCTAGTCCAACTCCCCTGCTGAAGCAGGATTGCCTAGAGCTAGAGCATGTTACTCAGGACTGCATCCAGGCGGGTTTTGAAAATCTCCAAAGAAGGGGACTCCACAACCTCCCTGGGCAGCCTGTTCCAGGGTTCCGTCACCCTCACCGTGAAGAAGTTTCTCCTCATATTTGAGTGGAACCTCTTATGTTCCAACTTGTGCCCGTTGCCCCTCGTCCTCTCGGTGGGAACCACTGAAAAGAGTCTGGCTCCCTCCTCCTTCAACCCTCCCTTGAGATACTTGTAGGCGTTGATAAGGTCTCCCCTCAGCCTTCTCTTCTCCAGACTAAAGAGTCCCAGCTCTCTCAGTCTCTCCTCATAAGGGAGATGCTCCAATCCTTGAATCATCTTTGTTTCTAATAATTCTATTAATTACTAATTCAAATATCAAATCTGCCAGGATTTATACTGACTAGGGATGCAGAAATTTTTTATAGTATTCAGAAATATTAAAAACAAATCTATATTAAACATTGATACCACTTCTTGCTTTCATAAAAGTGTTGTTCTAGAGGAAGTGCAGTTAATACTTCAAGAACTATGCTTACAATTATTTAAGGATTTTTCTGATATGCAAATTTTATTATGTTGACTGAACAGATTATTCACACTGATACCATCAACAACCTGAAAATCTCCAGAAATGTCCAAATCAGATAATTTTAGATTGCATCACACTTTCACAATCAAAATATAAAGTTCATCTACTCAGTAAAGCATCTCGGCATTTCAATGCGGTCACCGAATGCCGTTACAGAAACAGTGCAGCCTGTATTGCCTATAATTAAACTCTGGCTAAGCATTAGTTTCTCTGACAACACTTTGAACGAAGTGCTAGATCAGAACTAACTTAAAGACTCATTTTATCCTGACTGCTAATATTTTCTGCATTTTCTTCTAGAAACAGAAAACCATTCTTGTAATGATCTCACCTTCTGTCTGCAAAACAGGAATGCTTGATGCAAGTAAGTTGATGGGCCAATAAACACTTCAGTTGACCAACACATGGCTGAATTCAGTAGAACGTATTTCACCCCTTCCCTGACACCATGGCAGCACTATGAGGCTAGATGCAGCATAATTATTCTTTGTCAAATACGTGAAAGATTTTCAGCAGGGTCAACCAGTAACTGGCTACCCCTCCTCACTGACCAGGTTCTGCAAAACACAGCAATTCCCAAGATCATCTCCCACGCTCATTAGTACTACACAAGGTAATTATGACTGTAAGAGTACTTCCTGAGTCATTTACTCTCTCCTTTTTTTTAGTGGTGTCACCTGTTCTAGTAAATCTCTTAGCACCTTCCTCTACAAACCTATTTCTACTGTTTACACAGGCTATAGCTACAATAATAACCAGAGACTGAGAATGCTTTGACTCTGAAATCTGGTCATCTGTGCTGTTAAATTGTTAAAATGTCCCTAGCATGGTTTTGGCCATGCCAAATAGTTCTGTCACAAAGAGTTTCTGAGAACGGCTAAGGAGTCAGAAACACAGAACAGAGGCTATTCCCAACTACTAGTGTGGATGCAGCCACTCTGTTTTGCAGAATATGAGGGTTTAAGAACAAGGACGTAGGCCACCTCATGCCAGACAACTGGCCTGGGCATGTTTATTTTCCAACTACAGCCATTGCCACATTGTATGGAAGAATTTAACTTTATACTAATTTTTCCTGGAAGCATTTCAGTTTCACTGTCAAGTGTAAGCTAATGTCAACAAAAAACATATAAACGTGCTGCAATCTTGATACAATTCTCTTTCTATTTACTTAAATATTTTCTCGCCTCAGTTTAAAAACATATACAGAAAAAGACAGGTATAAACAGTAAATTATTCAGAATAGCTGGCAGCAAACCACTGTGACTTAAAAATAAAATAAGACTATTAGGCTGCTTTCCTTACAAACACTTTTTAACACAAAACAGTAGTGTTGATTGACTACTTCCCACTAGTAAAGGCCTTTGTCCACACACAATGACCAGGCAATATAGGTGTTTCATTTTTAGTGAAATTTGAATGAAAACATTTAATAATCAATGTTCCACTGAAATTTCTACATAATCTTCCAGCATGACTGCTTCTATACTGCAAAAAGAACTGTATTAGTAAAAAATGAACACTAACCTTCTCAATATTTATTTGGTGTTTTCTTAACCTCTCCAAATCTGTTGGAATTGCCACTTTAATGAATTTTTGAATGGCAGGTTCAATTCGACGGAGCTTAACTTTTTCATCATCTTCAGACATCCTAAAAGCAGCTTTCAAGCCAATACTTGCCCAGAATATCTTCACCAAGGTAGAAACCCCTAAAAACCAAAGAATTATAGGCTTATAAAAATGCGGTAAGTTAGAATCACTTTTTAAAAGAAAGCAAAATAAGGTAAGTCAGTCTTTCCAATAACCACATCTGTTTCAAACCCACATTTGAGCAGTATTAACTACTTAAAATCTGGATACTCTATTTGCATTTAAATGTACTATTTCCATTTATTTGCAGGCCCTTGGGATCATTTTTCATAGATAAAACTTACAACTAACAACAAAAAAAAAGCTAAATAATTAAGGCAGATGCAAACACGCTTTGCAGCATAATGATAGATGGGAGCCTTTGAAAAAACCTTCCAATTAGATGCTTTGCTTGATCAGAGTTCAAGTTTTGCCAATTTACATTCTGATCATCTTAAAAACTGTAAAACATGTCCTGAAAGGCACCAAAATAAAATTAAATTAGGAAGTCCATTTCCTAGAAAGATTAAGAGCTCCTGAATGAAGATTTGCCCTCCAAATTGCATTTGTCCCCTACTGAAAATGACTAAGGCATCACCTAACATAGGGTTTAACCAGGTTTCTGAAATATTTGCAGGACCAGTAGGTACATAAGCAGCTTGAATTCTGTTCCCTGTACATGCATAAAACATAATTTTGAAGGTTCACTTCTCTAAAAGAAAGATGTGTAGAACTGTATATAATAGCATTTATCTACAGAGTATATGAGTAATATAAAGGAATTCCATTATACTGAATGCACACAGGGGGCAAGAAAAAATATTGTGAGATAATTCTGCAGTTTTAATACTGTATAAACAGAGGTTATTTAAATTAGATCTTCTTTCTGTACAGGGGAGAACTTTGTAGAGTAGGGCTGATGGTTGGACTCGATGATCCCAAGGGTCTTTTCCAACCTAGATGATTCCATGATTCTATACTCCTTTTTTTAACAAAACCAAGAAGTTGAATTGCAGACATGTATGAGAAAGTTTTACCACAAGTGTCAATAAAAAGATGCTTGCTGACTTGGTTACATGAAAGTACCTGCACCACTACAGCAATGGCAACAGAAGGCCTTCCCCGATTTTCCTCTTCCAGTAATCAAACTAATTTAAAATAGTTAAACCAGCATAATCCTCCTGGTGCAGACGAGGCACAGCAGAATGTTACACATTCAAAAACTTTCCTATTTTTCACACAGCCAAACATATTATTAACAGTGAAGCCTTAACATCAATTTTTCTCACATCTAACTACGATGTGAAAGTGCAGAGGGAGAGCGTTGAGGGTTTTCTGAGACCTGTGATTCCTGCAGGCAGAGAGAACGTGAAGGCAGACACCGGTTGATGGCACCGAGACTTCGACTGAACCGCTCAAAGTTCAGTCACAGCTCTCACTTGTGGACTGCAGGGAGGACATGCAGGAATCCTCCTCACCTTCAAAGGAGCCAAGTGGTACACATCTTCCATCAGGCCAATGAGAAAGCTGAGAGCACTTCTGTCAAAGGGAAGCTGGGCTTCTAGAGGAAAACACTCCCAGGTTATTCACCTTTTACAACACAGATGCAAATAAAACAACTTTGTGCTTTTCTAAAGAACAGAATGCTAACAGAAGACTCTCCTCTTTTATCCGTCCCACCCAACAAAGAAACTGGAAACTGTGAAAAACTGAGTACTTCCTAAGGAAACCACGTTAGGGGAAGTGAATCTTTAAGGTTTCACTGATACACCTTTTCCTTTTTCAGAACCTCAGAAGGAAATCATTTCATCAACTGACTTCGCAGTCATTGTTAAATCACCCCCACTTCAAATTATAAAGACATACTATCAAGTAGTTTTGCAAATCCCCTTCTAACCCAAGGCATTTCATATTAATAGCACTTCGTCCAAATCTTCAAATAAACATGCAGTGGGTGGCCTTGCATTTCTCGGTATGTAAAAAGAACTTTAATTTACTTTAATCCTTTTGTGTTGATTAACGCTTCCCACCATTCCAAAAACAGTAGCTTAATTGCAAGGCAATAAAAGATATATTGTTTCTTCTATTATACCTTGGTCACTACAGTCCCTAACACTTTTGAAAGAGCCATTTTTATCTCACAGCTGAACTCCATTTTGAGCCTAGAACAGATATTTCTTTTTTTTCCCAGTGAGCAAAAGATGAAAAGCATCATACTCCAAACTGCAGTACTTCCTCTTCAAAAACACATTTAATTTCTTGACAGCTTATACACTAATCCACGAGTTTATGAGCTAGAATTAATTAAAAATTGGTTCCTTAAGGATATTTAGTAGTCATGTCATGCTTTTAAAACTGAATGATCTTGAAGAAGCAATGACAAAAATTCTCAAACTTACCACACAATGAGAAGCCCACAGCCCATTCCGTCTTAGAACAAATACTATAGACACTAAGCTAAATCCATCATAATTTTGTCCTTAACCTTTAATGACATCTAGAGATTGATAAGAGTCAAAACTGACAGTTTAGATGACCTATAAACTGGACCCCTGTGAAAGCAGACTTAATGTAACCAAAGGCCGTATGTCTTGAGTAGGTGATCTGAATAAGCAACAGTTTTACATTCAAAGATTTGGCTGCACGCAGGGCTCTGGATAGTCATTTTCTTCTCCTTAAAAATTCCCAGACAGTAAACTAGCTTTCACAACAGCGTCTATGAATCTCTTTAAGGCACTACTGCCTAAACTTCACTGCACAGTAAGTGTGAGAAACTAAGAAAAAAATAAAAACTCCTTACATTCTCATCACATCTTCTGCTTAATGTTCTCTCAAACAGTATAGTAGCTTTTGTAACAAAATTCTATGCCATAAATCACCAGTAAGAAAATATGTAGGGTCTTACTTGTTTTTATGTTCATATGATATAGCAAATAAAATTATGGTTACAAGTTTTTGTAATATGTTCATTCCAGATGCAATTTCAAGGAAATCTAAGGTTTCTTGCATACATTATTGGGCTTCTGTTTTCCCAAGTGTAACTTCAAGAATTAATTCCCAAAGCTGCAATGCCTGTTTTTTGAGCAATTACAGAGTAACAGGGCAGTTTAGGTTGGGAGGGACTTTCATACGGCATCCAGCACAAGCTGAGTTAGGTGTGGTTGCACAGACCCTTGTCCAGTCAAGTTCCAACACCTCCACAGATCGATGTTCCGAACACTCACTAGACCCCTCCTTCAGTGTTTGACCATTCTCCAGGTTAAAAACAAAACCAAACCAAAACCAACACAAACTTCCTTGTAGCTGAACAGGCTTGTGTCCACTGCCTCTCATTCATTGTCACCTCCAAGAGAAGCCTGGGTCTGTACCTTCCCATCCACAGCAGTGAGGTCTCCCTTTCCTTCATCTTCTCTTAAGGCTGAACAAATCCACCTCTCTGTTTCTCCTTGAGTATCACGTGCTCCATCCCCCTAACCACCTCGCCAGTCTCACAGGTACTGAACAGAGGAGAAGAGTCACTCCCTTGGCCTGCTGTCTCTGAAGCTGCATTTACTAACATCCACAACGTGGTTGTCCTCTTCTGCAACAGCCCATTCAGACTCGTATTCAACATATGGTCCACCACAACATACAGGTCCTTTGCTGCAAGGCTGCTCTCCATCGAGCCTTCCCACAGCCTGTTCTACTCATCAGGCTACTCCATCCATGATGCTGGGCTTTCTTGTTGCCTTTGAAGGAATTTGAGGTTCCTGTCAGCCCATTTCTTCATCCCATCAAGATCCCTCTGAGTAGCAGCCACTGTCCTCAGGCCAGTTAAAAACACTGCTTTCAACTGCAGCTTTTTAAGAAGATAATTTTGCCTCTGTCCTTGGACCTGAACTGCAGTCAGCACGTACACAAACCTGCACAAGTTCTGAGCCCTCTCTCAGAGGGTGCCATTCAGACACCACATGATTGGGTGACAGATCACCTCCTCTTTCTGACCACTTCTGTCCAGGACTGCTGCTTCAGCAGGGGCTTGGGCAACCTTCCTACAGGCATTTACCAGGCTCCAAGCACAACAAAATCTCAAGTTCTCCGAGACTGGAATACTCGGCTCTGATTCCCTAAAATAAATTGAAGTTTGAGCAAAAAAGCCCATGAGAATACCGTATCATTAGATCAGTAATTAAAAAAGTTAGATAAAACCATTTGTAATTAACTGTCTTTCATTATATTCACAGTGCAAGATATTTTGATAAACAAAGAAATTACAGAATCTTGTCTTTTCAAATGCTGATGCTACAAGCCTGTTAGGGGTTATCTTTAAACTAAAATACTTTCCATTTAACATTCAAAATTCATGCACCAAAATTCAATTATATTTCAGTAACAGAAATAACACTTATCCAGAAGAGATCAAGACCCAGATGCAGAATAATTTTCAGTCAACTGTGTTAACAAAAAAGCAGACATATCCAAAGCATACTGTAGCAGCATTATCAAAGTATTAAATGGTGACAAAAATTATATATATATATCTCCCTTCTTAATATTTATGTTTTCTGGAGGCAGGCCCCAAACTGAAACTGTAATGTTGAAGTAAAATTAGCATAAAAGAATACCATTACCTTGATATCTGCACTTAATATGAAAATAATCTATGATCCTTACTACCCAAGACAGGAAAAAACTCCTTATCCTGTTTGTTCACCCCACATCCTTGAAACTACTTAAGTGTATCTTCCATAAAGGATTAGTCCACATGCTCTTGTTTGTAAGCAACAGAGCAAAAGAACCTGAGGATTTCCACTGGTTTGATCTTTGCTTTACCAAATAAATGGGTACGTAAAGCAAACAAATTTTTTCAAAAACAGATCAATTCCTCTTTCAGCTTCTGAAGGTCCAACCAGCATATGCTATCTAATTTCACTGATTGAATCAAATAATTGTAAGGGGTAAAAGAATCTTAAGGCATCCAATTCCAAGCGGTTAAAGTGTGAATGTAATCCTGACACTAACACAAATCTCCACTCACTTTGTGGCGGTGCACATAAAGCACATACTCATATGGATGCAATCAGAAGTAAAATTCTTCCTATGTGTGGTAACAAACTTGTAACTTCTGTTATAAATTTCAGTAAATGCTGTTAATACATCTCAAATGTAATGCTCATTAACTTCTTTTAAACTGCTTAATGTTCTCCATTCAAATAGGTAGGAAAAATGCAGGATAAACCTGAAGAGTTCTGCTTGCTCAGGGAAATGCAACGTAACATTCGTATTTGATTTTAATTAACTTACAATGCTTTAGACAACCACTGCCACTACAAAAAGTACCTCCAGCATAGATGCCTTGTTTTTAAGGATTGTAAGGCCAACAAGCTTTTTCCTTTTCTCAATGTAAATAAAATAAATTAGATTACAGACGCTAGAATACAGAGACTTACAACAGCTTTCTCACTAAGATGACCTGAAATACCTCTTCTTAGAGTAGTACTGGCCCTACAATTACAGTGAGAAAGAGTATTCACTAATGCTCACTTGGCTGAGGTCTGTAGTTAGTGAGGAACATGCTCCTGTGGCAAGCTACAGCCAAATTGCACTTTGGGTCTGAATTACATCTGAAATAAGGCATTGTCACCAGCCCCAGCATGCCCACAAAGTGACATGAAACTTCTTAGTGGGATGAAGAGCCACGTGTGCAGGAATCTTTCGTGGAACAACCAGAATTAGGGGCTGTGAGTAACAGGCTGTGGTTCCTAGCAGATCTGTGCACTTGTGGATCACCCGGCAAGACAAACCTGATCCAGACAAGGCCAGGGAGTGTGACTGCATTTTGAGAAACCAGAGCAGACGACAGGCATTTTCTACTGGTTTTACATGTTTAAGCCAGCTGCAGAAAGCCAGAAAATACCTTATGACTCACACACCAACATATTTTGAACAAAGCTGGAACCGGCAGAGTGACTTTGTAGTGGACTGACACCTGCAATACCTGGCCAGAGCACAGTTCAGCCTGCAATTAGAGCCCTAATACTTATTTTTCTGTGTTACTGAACCATGCCCCTGGTCTCACCCCAGCAACCAAGAGGTTCTGGGTGTCCGACCCTTCCCGTAGCTTGCCCCTGACAAGCGAGGGGTGTACGCTGAGAGAAGCATAAGGAAAGAATAAAGAAAGGGTTTTATGTCCTGTATCAAGGCTACAAGTGGACTACGCTACTTCCTTTTCCTGAATAATGTTTTTAAAAAGCTTAAAGAATGAGGAACCAAACCATTTGTCACACTGTGCTTTTACTCTTTTTTTTTTTTTCCCCCTAAATCCAAGCTCCGCTTCGGTTCAGCTCCCCGCCACCCCCCCAAGCCGCAGCCCCCCGAGGACCCGCCGCTCCAAGGGGGACCCACAGGGCTGGGGCACCCCCAGCCACCCGCCCTGGGGAGGGAAACCGCTCTTACCCGAGCAGGGCAGGGGGAAAGCGGGACCAGCCTCCTCCCCGCGGTGCCAGCCAGCCCCCGGGCTCCGGGAGCGGGGCGGCCCAAGGCCGCGGGCC